CGGGCGAGAGTTCCGGTCCCGGACTCTACTCTCCCAGTTTTGGGTGCAAACGTGTAGTACCAGACCCTGTCTCCCACTTGGAGTTCCTCGTAAGAGGCCTTTTGGTCGTAGTACGCTTTGCGTCCTTCAGCTGATTTTTCCAGGTTTTTCTGTGCGAAAGCAAAAGTGTTCTTAAGATGTCTTTCCAAGTCTTTCATGTATTGTTGTGTGGTGTAGGCTGTTGCCATGGCAGCATCGCCTGGTTGGTACAACAGGTGCAGAGGGAGAGTCATTTGTCGACCCGTCATCATCTCGAAAGGAGCGATGCCAGTCGACGTGTGTGGAGTGGCCCTTATGGCCATGAGGACCAGAGGGAGTTTCACGTCCCAGTCCTTGTGGTTTGCGGCTACGTATTTTTTCAAAATACTCACCACAGTCCTGTTTGCTCTCTCAACCTGGCCTGAAGCCTGTGGGTGGTAGCCAATATGGAAGTTGGCTTTGACGCCTAGCGTCTTCCACAGTTCCTTCATTACTTCACCTGTGAAGTGTGTACCTTGGTCTGAGTTCACCCTAAGGGGAAGTCCAAACCTTGAAAATACATGATTCATTAACAACATAGCAGTGGTTTGTGCTGTGTCATTAGGGGCTGGTAGACATTCTACCCATTTGGTAAACGCGCAGGTTACCGTGAGAAAATATTTATTTCCTCTAGAGGTCTTAGTGAGTGGTCCGACCCAGTCAATCTGGAGGTCCGACCATGGAAATGCAATGCCTCTACTATGCAGTGGTGCTCTGTGAAGTGGTCTGGATGGTTGAAACTGGCCACAGATCAGGCACCCTTTTATGTAGTCCTTGACATCCTTTTTCATTCCAGGCCAATAAGCAATCTGTTTTAATGCTTTCAGCGTGGCATTGTCACCCTTATGTCCTGCGGACGGAAGGTCATGTGCATGGACTAACATCACCCCCCTGTGGTCATGGGGGACCACGAACACAGGTGAGGACGTCCGTCCATGAGCAAAAGTTAGGATGCCTTTAACTAGTTTCAGCTGTTTGCGCAGCTGAAAGAGGACTTTAAGGTCTGGATTGGAATCCAGCTCGTCTTTCGATGGAGTGTATTTGTCTGGGTCAGTCAGATACAACATCATCGAGTTAATTGCAGGATCCAACTTCTGAAGTTGGATGATGTCTGGGTCAGTCAACATCGGACGCACAGAAACTGTGTTATCAGCAGGTTTAGCTGCAGCTTGTGCGCGTGTGACTGCCATTACCTCAGTTGTAGCTTGTGACGACTGATTGTTGAGTAGCCAGGAGGGGTCAAAGGACCACTTGGGTCCGTCAACGGCTCCTTCCTTGGCTAGGGAGTCTGCAAGGTCATTGTAGTACTTGTCATCGCCTGGGACTCTGGAGTGTCCTGGAACTTTCTTCCAGAAGATCTGTAGATCATGTGATGTCACCAAGTGATCACATGTCATGAAAAGCTCTTTGTGTTTTACCACCTTTTTGTTGCTTGTGAGAAAACCGTTCTGTTTCCACAGAGCGAGATGACACAAGAAACTAAGTCGAGCATAGTTAGAGTCAGTGCAGATGACTAGCGTCTGGATGGAGCGTTCCACTGCCATCTGTAGGCCTATTAGGATTGCAGCTATCTCAGCGTACTGAGAAGACTGAGAGCCCAATTTATAGCCAAATGTGACCTGTTCCAGGTCTTGGAGGAGAACTCCTCCAACACCTGCTTTGCAGATTTTCTCGTGGTGGAATGAGCATCCATCCACGTACAATGTCGCCATATCTTTACAGATATTGCCATCAAAGAAGTGGTGATTTGGGTCCTCAGCAGCTGAGGGTTTACTCACAACCAGCTGTTGGGTGGCTGGTACATCCTGTGTACATTCTTGGCAGATTGCCAAATCAGTGCCCAAGTGCGACTTCTTATTTTGACCGTAGCGGATGTCTAGGTTAAAACTTTGAAGTGCCATAAGCCAGGTTGCAACACGTGAGTTTGTCACCACACCATCTCTGATGCGTTGGCTGTTCAGAAACGTTACCGGCTGGTGTTGTGTCTCAACAATGATCCTCTGTCCACCAATATAGCAGGAGAAATGTTTCACTGCCCACACAGTGGTCAATAGAGCCTTCTCACAGTCTGAATACCGTAATTCAGGGCCTGCCATTGTTTTGCTGGCGTAGGCCACAACACGCTTGTCTTTGTCGTGTATTTGGTACAGACCTGCACTCATGCAGTGAGGTGAGAAACCCACTTCCAAGTAGAACTCTTTGTTGTAGTCTGGGTAGACTAGACATGGGGCTAACTTGAGCCTGTCTTTGAGAGCGTTCATTGCCTGCTGTTGCGCATCAGTCCAGACAAAAGGAACGTCTTTCTCAGGAAGCAGCGCGCGGCATCGGTGAAGTGAGGCTACCCCTGGCTCGGTCTGCAGAAAAAAACGTTCATTCTTGGCTGCAAGTCACGTGAACTTCAGAATGATTCCATGCGCTGCAGTATTAATTCAGAAAACCTTCTTCGAGGATAAAGAAGCAGAGCCGCTGTGAGGCTTGTGAAACTGCTAACGCTGCGGGAGCGCGCGTTGACACCGCTGCAACGACAAAACGTGTGTCGCTTCTGCCGGGAGCGAGATACGTTGCTGAGCTCGTACCGTGGTCTCACGTGAACGTTGACGTGAACGGCGGGCACTGAGAGCTGCATGTGCGCTTTCATGCCGCGGGGGCGCGCATCGGCACCGCTGACAGTGAATGAAAAACAACCTTAAAAAGGCTCATTCGTGATGAGTGTGTGTGATGGAGCCGCTTGTCAGATAAACCATGCTGACAGCCTGGCTAGGAGACACTTCATCATAAAAAGATGTTATTTTACAGTGTCATCAACACACCTCCAGCGACCGGACACCTGATTACCTTCCGTTGAGCTCTGTTTGTTGTCCTGGAGGGCCCCCTGTTGGCTAAGTCCGGGAAAAAAAATAAACTTCCGGCTGCCGGGGACATCTGACGGGAGGGGCTGGCGTAGCAGAGCTGGGGGAGGCGTTGAGCAGCCGTGGAGCAGCTGTGGAGCAGCTGTGGAGCATCTTGAAGTGATCGCTAGCTGATGAAAAGAGGATCACCAACGGACTCCTGCATTTCTCCTGAGAGGAAGGTGGAGTGACGGGCCAGGAGAGCTTCTGGGACCCCGTTCTCCGGCTGCGATGCGGGGCGGCAGACAGCAAAAGAGGCGCACCGGTTGAGGATGACGTCAGCTGACCTGTAGACTGAGCGTACTGCAAGGGCCGGCAGCGTCGTTAGCAGCAGCCGCTGCGAGAGCGGGGTGAGCCGAAGGACAGAGGGCCACCGTCTCTTCTCGCCTCTGAACGTGTATGCCAACAACGTAACGTGTTGTTCGCTGCAGCCGTGTGGAACACATGCTGGTGAGCTCAGTTGGAGAGCAGTGTCACCGTCTCGGTTATGCTAACCGGAGGCACGGGACGCTGGTCCATCTTGAACATCTT